TACTAGAAGCAATGCCAGGAGCCCCTAGTAGCGTCCTTGCTCCTAGTCTCCGAAAGTGCCTACATTATTCACTTGTGAACAACTTCTTGGCTCGAACTGCCACTGCTACTGCGATACACAGTGCTCACCACATGCCACCACAGCGGCTGGCACAGGTGACACTCCCCAATGCCCGAGGCCTCTTCGACAAGGCCTTTACAGCCTCTGAGATCGAGCGAGAGAAGAAGAAGTGTTTCCCCAGCTGAGTGATTCCGTAGCTCATTTGTGGTCCAATTGTGGCTCTGAGGATGTGGGTATGACCCGGGTTTGTGTTTTTCGTGCTGATAGACCAGGTGGGTGTGACATCTTGGGAGAACTCTGGGCACAGACAACGTGCTTGTGTCTTGACCGAGAAACACACCTGCCGTCGAGCTTGCCCCTGTGTAGGAACATCCACAGCTACCGGCCGAAAAAGGCTGGATCTGGGTCCAAATGTACAGTGCGCGGAGTCCGGTAGAAAAGTTGCTAGGGAAGCAGAGGGGGCCTGGGCCGCCTGCACCCTTGGCTGCAGAAATACCATCCAACCCATGGGGAAAACTTTGTGTAGATGAACGGATATGGGGATTTCTGACGAGTGAGGTGCTGTTGTAGCACTCCTTCCACTTGAGTCGGTGGTGAAATTTCTGCCCATTTTGGTGAGAGGAAGGGACTGATCACTTACAAGTCCAACTTTTCCAACCCCGCCCTCCAGAGCCTGATTTGCTTGAAGCAATTGAATGTGTTCATATCTGTGAAGTGTCCTTCCAAAGATCATGACCACTTGCCCCAAACCTGGTCAGATTCCGATCCACCCGCCGCTCTTCGTTCCGCTGCTCTCGGTGTCCAGAACGGGGAACTCCGGCGACGGACCGCCCCGCGCGCCGGGTCGCGCGACCGCGGCCGGGCGCGATGGGGTGCAGCAGCTCCTCCGCGACGATCCCGGAGGCGAACGTGCAGAAGCAGCGGCGGCGGCTGAGTGTGGGGAATGTGGACACGTCGGAGGTCCATGAGGCCGACGAGCGCGCCACACAGGAAGACCGGGGTGCCTTGGTTTTTCGGGATGGGATCGGCTGGAGACAAACGCAGGCCTCTAGGAATTTACCTGGGCGAGCTGCTAGGAACTTGGGAAGTATGGGGAAAGGCTGTTGTTTGGGAGTGTTTGTCCCAAAATGGCCACCGTAGCTACTGTGGGGACTAGTTCCCGAGCTGTGCAGCCTGACCAGTTGCGTTCAGCGCTCGTCTAGTTTGAAACAGGAAGTACAATGCAGGACCTAGCGCATCAAGTGGAACCAAGGTTGCCAAATATTTCTTTTGGCCTGGGGGCCTACGAGTGTTCATTTGAGGTGTCTTGTTGCAGTTTCTGGAACATGTTGGCCCCGGCCCCGCTTGAGTGCAGATGCTACTCACTGAGGGCTCATCGCTCAATTCAACCAAAAGAACCTTTTGGATATGCTCCTTGGGCCTGATGCAAGCTTGGGCATTGACCGTGTTGCTTTCGATTGCGCATCGCAACCATTCACTTCCAGCTGCTTTCACTCTCCAGTGGTAAGCTTGCTTCACATTGCCTGAACAACATCCTGTTTGTACTCTTTTCACGCATACGGTCTTGGATGGCTGGCCGTCTACCCACCTATTGTATCCGCCCCGAACAAGAGTTTCCACACTCTCTGTCATTGGAAGTGGAAAGTTACTGATCTCTTTGGGGCTCTAGGCCTCCAGGTCTCTAGGGCTCTTCTCCAATCAGCTCCCAGGTGTTGTCGGGTGAGCTCTAACCTTGGCGCGCTTTCGTGCCTTCTCCTCATAGTCCCGGCTTTCTCTGCCATCACCTCCCCTCCCGTCTTGCATCAATTCGTTCTTGTACACAGATGGGTCTAACTTGGAGGTGCTGAGGGAGGTGTGAGTTCCCCCACTTTCCTAACTTTCACCCACTTGCCACTCAACATTCCGAAACCATCTCTGGGTCCTTCGTCGCTCGCTCGCTTTCCACTCTCTCTCTCTCTCCTTTCGGACGGACGTCGCGTCGCCTCGTTCGCGCTCGTTCGCGCTCGCCGCGGGGGGTCGGTCGCGTCTCGAGGATCCAAAGAGATGGGCAGCAAAAAGGTCGGCGGAACTCAGCCATTTGCAGTTCCACCGATCAGAACCCCACCTCCTTCGCCAACAAAACCATGCGCCTTGGGCCGTAAGAGAGTCTTTGGTCTTTTTTCCAACACGGCAGACTGGTGTTCTTCTTTGTGGAACGGGGTGTGTGCTGAGGTGGGACATCAAATGTGGGGACAAAACAAAGAGCAGGGGCATTGTGAATTGCATGATGAATGACGGCTGGAGGATCATTTGAACAGGGACGGGCTTCCAACTGGGATGGCCAGTAAGCTACCTGAATTCTACCTTCCACCGGTACACGGTCTTCTCCATGCAGTTTTGCAGATCGTCTGAGCCGAACCCCTGAGTTGGCACAGGAGTTGGCTTCGAGCAACATGCTGTAGCAATCCGAAAATGACCTTGAAAAACATCCAACATCATCCAACGAATTCACACCCAAATTCAACGGTTGCTGCACCGGATTCCTTTTGGTCACCCGAGCCGAGGCAGCAATACGGCGACGAACTCCAAGCCGCGCAGCATGGCCTCGGCTACACCTGCCGGAAAGGCTTGAAGCCGGTGGCTCGGACGGAGGTGGACTTTGGGGTCTGCAAAAATAAGAGGTGATTCAATCAAAACCTCAATTGAGGTCTTGGTGCAAAAGAGACCTCAATTCTCAATCAAAATAAGACCTCAATTGCTGATTCATCCCCCCCTCCCCGATCAATTGAGGTCTTGCGATACTTTCCCCTTAAGGACCCTGATATAGACAGGTCCAATTCTGGTGCGTGCCTTTGAGTGCCTGAAACATGCATTTTCTGAGGAAAGTCCGAACCAAGACTCTTGGTGCATGCTGAAGACCGAAGACTTTTCCATCTACGGGGTCTTTGATGGACATGGCCAGAAGGGTCACGATGTGTCGAACTTCGTCAAGGCGCCCTTCGTCAAGCCAGGGCGGCTTTCGGCTTGTTGGGACTGTGCCGAAAGCGGAGGCTTTGTCGAAAGCGGGGTGTGATGGCGTAAGTATCCTTTTTTTACATCACAAGTCACCGAGCGGTGAGCAGTGAGGAGCAGTGTTTCAGGCTTGCCGACATAGAGGTGTCGTGCAGGGTAACCAAGATACAACGAACCTGAGGAACGACCTGGCTTCTAGGTTGGAGGCCATCGCTTCTAGGTTGGAGGCCAATGATAATTACGATTACATAATGATTACATTATGGTTAAGTTACTATATAATGATTATAACTATGATATCGCTACAATATATCCCACTCACATCTGCGTGGGCCTTTTGAGCTTCGTGCAGGACGTGCTGCCGAAGCTCATCGTCTCAGACCCACGGGCTGCCAGCAGTGACCAGTGGTCCGCCATTTTGACGGACTGCTTCCGGAAGACCCAGAGTATGGCCGCTTTGGTCCTGGTTGGGCGTGGTGGTTTGGTGTGTACCGGTGGCAGGAAGGAGCAATCACTGTAGAAGGGACCTGGACTGCAGCTGGTGTTGAAGGAAGGATACCCCAGGAATTCCTCTACTTCCCTCAACAGTAGTGAGGCCATCTCACAGACATCCAAAATGTTTTGCTGACGGGTGCATTCATGATGGTGATTCAGAGCAGCCCCAAGTTGCAGGATGTTCGAAGTCTGCTATAGATGTCGATGGTGGGTGTGCATCCCTTGGTTGTTATGAACCTCAATAGGGACGGTTGCGAGAATGCAGAGGAGAATCTCCTTGTTTGTATTTCTGTAGCAGGTTGGCTATCATGGAGACCATCACAGGTCAATGTTTCCTTCCAAGAGAGGTAGTCGAGCCACAACATGGCTGGCTGGCCATGATATTTTTCTCATCTCCTTCACTCCGTTCCTGGAGTTCGCATGATCTACAGGACCTTTGCCCGTTTTCCCCGCGGTGCTCACGCAGCAGTGATCAGGTGAACACCTCTGACAAGATGAAGCAGTTGTCGCGCGGCGCTGTTTTCAGCGGGGTGGTCATCCAGTCGGGAATCGGCGTGAAACACCGGTGACTGGAGCGGTGAAGGGTATGACTGGAGCGGTGGTACAGCCAGAAGTGCATCGCTACTAATAGCTTCTAGCTACTAGTAGTAAGGCACCTTGCTAGTAGGCGATGCCCCAGCTACTAGTAGCTAGTTTGCTCCCAAGGAGACCACTGAGCCTTTGTAAGCCAATGCTCCAGTGATCTCCAGTGTGGGCAACACTGATCGATTGAGCTCAGCTCCAGCCTAGTTGACTAAGACCCCTATTCTTGGCGCCGAGGAATGCGCAGATGTCAGGCACCACGGCTACCCTAGCAGTCCACGACCACCGCAGCGATCAGATCACTGTGCCTGGGCTCTTGACGTGTCGAAGCGCGCCGTGATTAAGCCGTGAATGCGCCGTGACGCGAAGCGCCGTTGTGTGTCGGGCGGTGATTGGACTGGAGAAAGGCTTTTGGAGATAGGAATGTCCGGGGAACTCCCTGTGGCCAACCACAGATTTGTGCTACTATGTGCTATTTGATTTCAACGATTGCATAGTATACACAAAAATATCTACCCATCATCAGTTCCCTTGTCGCAGATCTCGCGTCCTATTCTAGGGGGAATCTACTGCTTGCTTTTTTCAGGGCCGGAGTCGGAGCTTTGTTTTTGTGTCTCCCTGCATTGCCGACGTGCAGGGAGCCACGAGCGATTTTGGGTGAAAAGCCACAGACTGGTGACAAGTGCAATCAACAGGCTTGGAAGGAAGACATGCTGGTGGACACGAGGAATTCCCAGATCACCAGCGAATTGGACAGTAAAGTGTTATTCCGAAAAGGCTTGTACCGAAACGGATGGGTTTTGAATCTCGCCGTCTCTCTTTGAATCTTAGACAGACTGAACCAGACGGCGGGTCACTCAGGTGGGCCACGTGGCGGATAGCACCGCGGTGCTGGGCACGAAAAACAGCAGCAGTTGGGAAGGAGTGGCCTTGACCCGCGATCATAAGCCCAACTTGAAGGATGAGAAAGCTCGCCCCTCGGCTGGTGAAGGTATTCTAACTATGTCTGATGCTTTTGACGTGGTTTATATGGTTTGGAAAAGAGACGCTAAGCCCAGGAGGTGACAAAGACAGAAGAGAGGTCAGAAAGACCTTTCTGGAATCAACAACATGGTGTGCCTGATTTCATCCTCCTCCTCCTCCATTTCTATTGGTGGGAGTCCGTGCTTGCCCGAAGGAAGCATGTCCAGACAGAGTCTTTCCTTGGTCTTGTTGGTTTTGATGGAGTACTTTGGGGTCTTTGGGGAGAACTCTGTTTTTCAGCTCTGAACAAAGCCAATCCAAACCAGATCGATCAGTTGGGAAAAAGCTGGCTTGCTTGGCTCCGCTTTTTGCGCCTGTCAGGCATCGAGAAGGCGGGTGGCCGCGTGGTGTTTGACGGCTACGCGAACCACCGTGTCTATGCGAAGAATGCGCGCTACCCCGGCCTCAACATGTCTCGCTGCATAGGAGATGTGTGGAGATGTGTTTTGGGCGATCTGTGTGGTGGGGAAGGTAAAGACAAGGTCAACACGAGGCGATTTGCACCCAGGGGGAGTGTAATTTGACATTCCTGTCAGAACAGAATGAGGCCAAACTTAACCCTGAGCAAGACCCCCCTGAGCAGGCTTGCTGATTGGTGGATAGCAAGACCAACAGGATGCTGATCCAACACACCAATTTGAGTTTTGCTTGAGACATCATTTCAGTTTGCCGCAGTCGTCCGCAGTCGTCCGCCCCGCCAGGAGACCTCCTTGGGCACCAAGATTGTGGCATCAGCTGCGAGCCGGAGATTGCCACAGTGGAACCCAGCAACAAGGAGAGGTACACGTTTGTCGGTTGGGGGTGTTGTACTAGTGTCCGAGGTCAGTGTGGTGGCAAAGTGCCATTTTGTGCCGCATCCCCAGGTGCCCAAACACTTCGATGAGCATCCATCATTGAAGGGGTGAATTGACATGGACTCTGACAACTTACAATTGCTCGAACATTGAGTGGAGACATGTCCTCCTTTCCTCACCTCCTCAACAAGATCGTCCAAGGGGGCAGTATATTGCATATGCGTTAAAAAGCTTGGATTGTCTCAGTCCCACTCCAGCGACTCTGAGCAGTAGCGAATATGTAAACCTTTTCCGTGCATACCTTTTGGTTCATTGGGCAGTCTTAGCAAAACGTGGATGCTCATTCCGCGTCGGCACAATACGTCATTAACCTGAACAAGGTTCCTGCAGATTCTGTTCATGTGGCTGTTCTTGTCTCAGTACAACCGTTTTCGACATAGATTGATCGTTACTTTTTGCCCAGGCATTTTACTGTTGTCCACGATCGCCGTGGCCGCGCCGTCCCACCTTGTCCAGGCCTTGTCCGGGGCTTTGTCCGGCGTGCACCCGGTCCCGCGGTCTGTTTGTCCGTCGGCCCTCTTATCGCCGCCTTGTCCAGACCTTGTCCCGTGCTTGGCCACACCGTTGTCCTTGTTTTTCTTTTTGGGCCTATGTCTAAATGCAGTTCCCCAGCAGGAGGCTATAACGGACGTTTCCACCAACATTGGAACTCAAGGAATTGACGCAAACAAGTCCTGCTGAAGCTGTTTGGGGTCTATGCTGTCTATGCTGGTACAATTCAAAGCCAGATTGCTGGTTGCTCGTTTTTGTTTTTGGAAGCCTTTTCAACGAAGAGGCTTTAGTTTCTTCCAGGCTCCCAGCCTACCAAGCGCACCTAACCCCAACGGCCATAGCAAACACCAAGTGTCGGATGTTTCGGATGTCCGCTGGACACCCATGGACGCCCCATGCGAAGGATAGGATCCTCTTCATTTGCAGTGATGGTGTTTGGGCTTCTCGGAAGAAGAAAAGACCAACGGGATCACTGGGAGTGGCCGCAGCTGCTCTGAGCGCTGCTCTGAGCGACAGAACCATGTTGCAGCTGGCAGAACCCGTTCAGGCCCTTCAGAACCATGTTGCCCTGTAGACTGTAGATTCTATTTTCAATTTCGGAGATTCCAAGAGATCTATGGCACTGGAGCCACGAGCCGCGCATTGCTCGGATCCTACGAAAGGTCACTGGGGGCGACGTTTCGTCCATCGGGCGTTTTCCACCGGGCGTTTCGGACAAGCAAACACCATTGCGGTGGTTGCGCACCGAGGAATTCATCACTCCACAGGAGGCGCAGCTGGAGCTGGGCGTTTTCACTGTGCAGTGTGTTTTCACTCCGCTTTTGGAACAGGAACAGAGTCTCTCTTTGCAAGAAGGCATCAAATTTGCAATTGACATTTCAAGTTAGCGAATATAGCGAATGGGTTTGTCACTAGCCGCTCACTAGCCCGGATGAAAGAAAAACGTCTTGACCCACAATTGCAGCCTGACGGTCCAGAAGATGTCCACCGGGCACCCTTGTAGGTTTGTTTGTGCTCCAACAAGACAGCCGCAATCTCAACCTGATCAGCGAATCCACCCACCACCATCCGCCCGGTCCGCGGATTCTGCGTTTCTTCTGCGGATGTCGTTCGGATTTGTGAAGGCGGTGACCTTGATCCACCACTATGGCTCCTCTGACGCTCAGAAGGCGGCAGACTTCTTGGCCAAGGAAGCCTGGGATCGTTGGATCCGAGAGGAAGGCGGGTGGAACGGGTCTTCCGACCTTCGCGTGGAGGATGACGGAACGGGTGTTGCAGGCTGAGTGGTAAATGAAAGTGACTGGTGGGATCGTGTATGTAGAACACGGGAGCTTTGGTGGTTCTTGGGAGTTTGGAGACGGGTGAGGATGGTGTGAGGAGGTGCTTCTCTTCTTTCTGGGAGAAACGTTCACCATCACGGTAAGGACACGGTTGATTGCTCAGGCTTGGGGTGGGGTTTCATGGGCAGGAGGCCTTGGATGTTCTTTTGGATCCTCCTGTTATCTCCAAAACTGGGCAAACTGATGTCATATCCATGTTGGAGTGTGGAAGTGAGGATTGTCGATCTGTGGGTTTCGGAGGATTCTGTCCAGTCTTTCTTCCTTCGAATCGGGAAGATCCGGCGCCACATTGGCGCTTGCCCAAAGACCCATGAAGCGTGGAACTGGAATCCGAATACATCAGAGGCACTTTTCGGAGACTGGACACGTTGTTTTCGATGGAAGCCATTTGTCCCTGCCATGCGGTCAGTGATCTTGGTCGTGGGGCTCCATCCTCAAAAGCCACGTCAAGCGCAGCATTGGGACACCACCGCGGAGTGCAGGTGGTGCTGTGGTGGATGACATCACGGTGATTTTGGTCTACTTGAAGCCGGTGGGGAATTGATTGCCTTGAAGGCCCCGTGCCCGGTGTTGGCATCGCGCAGCCAGTCCGGCGCTGGTGTCATGTTCCATGTGCGGGATGTGACGGAGATGAATAGTCAAGTTCCCTCTAAACCTCTTCTTGACGCAGAGAACCATATATATATATATATATATATACTTGGTCATTGCAGTTGTTGAATTCATCCACACCCAAACACTTTCCTCACAGATGGCCTGGGTACCCGCAGATTTACAGCAAGATTTAGTGGTGAGTCCAACTCAAAACCAGGCGCTGGGGCAGGACGCACCGCGAGCTGCAGGACGCACCGGCTGCGCCACTCCGCTTTCGGTGGCGCGCCCCTTCCGGTGATTTGGTTTGACCTACAGGATCCCAGAGAGACCTTGTTGCGGTCAAAGAATCACCGAGCAGCCAATGTCTAGAAGTTGCAAAACCAGAGAAGCTGCCCTTGGGATCCTACAAGAAATGTTACGTCTCACCTAGAGATCCAAAGCGATACTCGTCAGTGGTTCGAGCTGCGCGGAAGTACGTGCCCAGAGGAGTTTTTCTGTTTATCGTCACGGAGGGCGGTTTTCGGTGTTGTTGGTGTCATTTTTCTCTAACTGAATCTTCAGGTCTTGTTTGCTAAGCTAGTCAACCACGACCACCGCTTTTTGGTGGGCTCCGCTCCCTTGGGCTCCGCCCGGCGCGGGCGGAAGAGCAATGAACGCTCGCGACCGCCGTGAGTTCGGAAATTTTGCAATTCGCTCGAAGGAGCCATTCGAAAAGTAGTAGCTCCGCGGCGGTAGGGCGTGGACTGGAGCCAACGGGTGATTCTAGTGAGCAGTAGACCGTTGTTTCGCAAGACACATCGTTCGGACACCACGTGAAACCACACTGCCAGCGCTCGGAACCCCAGCACCACTGGAGTCCCCGAAAAGACGTCCACCATTGAGCGATTCGATTCGGGGATGTCCTTGAATGAGCGCTAAGCGCACACAGCGCTTCATTCATGCCTTCCACACCGCGGAGAATAACGGTGTCACCCCTTCGTAGAAAGGAACGGAGAGTTCTCAAGGCGTCGGACGAAAAGCGGAGGCGGGAGACGAGTTGTGCAACACGGTTCATCTTGCAACAGTGGGTGCCTGATTTGAAGCCATGCTTGTTGATGAACCAACTTCTGTATGAACTCGAAATATGGAAATAGGTTCTCGAATGCTTTGTGCTTCAATCAGAGTTAGTTAGGTCACTGAAGGATGTACAGTAGATGCAGACAAGACGCCTCGCCATGCCCGACCCTGCCCCAAATTCATGCAGATCTTCAAGACTCTTACGACACAACACCATAGGAGCAGTTACCTTTGCTCCCCAGGCTTCCTGAGGACCCTAAGACCTCAAAAAGACAACCTCTCCTGTTCTCTCCTGTTCACACTCTTTCCATGCCCCAACCCCCTCATTTCTTTGCACATCCCAAAAAGCCCTCCCTACACAATCCCGTACACCGCTGCGACGCCATGGCCGTGCTGTTGCCACTCTTCCTGGCTGCGGGTGGTGGCTTTCTCTGGGCCTTTGGCGTGCTGGGGAAACGCATTGGCGTGGAGGGCGCCACTGTGGAAACGCAGACCGTTCGCGCCTGGGACGGAGAACGTGAGTGGAGCCCCCCGGAGAAGACCGGGAGAGGGAGATTGATTTGGGTAGACGCATGGCAGGAGTTTTCGCTAGTGACTAGTGAGCGATGTCTGGTTTTTGGAATTTCCGAACATCGGGAAGTTGAGTAGCAAAACATTCTAGATGCAGACTTTCAGGGCTTCTGACATGCAAACCCCCACCCTAACCCCCCCACCCCCCCACCCACCTACCCACCCACCCACACACACATCCACAGAAGACCTGACGCCACTCTGAATTCATCAAGTGTATGCCATATGCATCCGACAATAGCAAGTTATCAGCATCCCTACAGCTTATCTACAGCATTTTCATTAGTTTGCTAATCCAACCGATTGTCCGGTCTCAGGTGCTGCGATCACCATTTTCGTCTACACCTTGACCACCGCCTGCACTCCCTTGTTGGACTTATGGCACTTAGGCCGGCGACGCCCTCGACTTTGAAAGAACTGACCACGCATGAAACAAACATGCCAACCTTTTTTGGCTTTGCAAAGGGGATGAAGCGAGAGGGAGTTGCTTTTTGGCCCAAGGAGTTTGTACGCAGTTGGTGCCTCGTGCGCGCGAGCAGGATTCGGGTCGTGGCTCCGAATGGTAAATGAAAGTGGGGCGCCAAGATGTGCCATGCAAGAGGAAGTGGCTTGCGAACAAGCAAATCCCCTTGTCTATTTGTAACATCATAGTTCATTTTTGTTCATCGTATTTCTTCTTTTTGTCATCGCAATACCCAGATTGTTTTTGTTGTTCTGAAAGAGCTTGTCATCACGCAGAAACAAACACTACACCGCCCTTTTGCCGGTGTTGACCGCACGCAATGCTCCGAAATCTGGCAGCACCACACCTGTGGTGCCTGCCGCACAAGACGGCAGTTTGACTGCTACCCAGCTTTCACACAGATATGTGTATGTCTCTCTATATATATATAGATATAGATAGACATAAGTGATGTGAACAAGACACGTAGTCTTCCAATCTGGCCAAAATGATTCCTGTAGAGTTGTGCAAGGAGTCCCAGTCGTCTGAATGCCCCAAGAAATTCCATAAACATTAATAGATGAGTTTGATGTCTCTTACTCAGCTGGAATCTGGCCAGGTGCAAAAGGGTGGTTCGAGACTTGGAATGACCCTGTCTGGAGCAGCCGAGTTCCCTTGGTGATCGTCTGTGGCGTTATCAGCGGGCTGGGCGGCTTGTCACTGGGCTGGATCGATTTGGCATAGTTGGCATGAACGGTGTGGTCATGGTGTCTGGGATTGTCCGGTTGATGGATGAAGGTGACACTGAAGAAGGCGAAGAAGGCAGATATGGATCACCTGCGACCTTCAAGGCGATGAAGGGAGATTGGAGAACTCACTTGAGAAGTCTCATGTGCTGACATGGCGGGTATGTCGTTCAAACTGTTTGTTTTGCGTGCATGTGTGTGTGTGAGAGAGTGTCACACCTTGGAATGGCCCGGACGAACCAGGTACGAACCAGGCAACCCATGATCATCCATCATCCATGATCCCCCCCCTTTGCTCAAGCACTTGGTGCACCTCTCCGCTCACCACCGTCTGCCAGAGTACCACAGTCTGCCACAGTCGCCTCCCTTTCCCTCCCTAGGTTGGGCACCATTGCTTTCGCGTGGTCTGCTGGCTCCGATAGTGCTCTGGTCTCGATGATTGAGAACGGCATGTACACCATGATGAGCGCCACTGGGCAAAGAGTCAAAGAGTTGAGGACATGGAAAAAGACGACAGGGTGTTGGAGAGTGGTGGGTGGAAATTTGCCCGAATCTACTAACTTGAGGCGGACCTGCAGGGTAGAGAACAGATTGTCCAAGGACTAGTGCATGTTGAGCCACTTCTTTCATGATTTTGGACCCTTACTGTAGTCGTTGGGTTTCAGACCACCGTGTCAGATACCCGAACCCTTCGGATCATCAGATGTGCTTCTGGGTTCTGAAAGAATCCTTCGATCTTCCAGAGAGACTTCAGCAAATGGATGGATCTTGGGTCAATCCCACCCAGTCCCCAAAATCATACGATTGGATTTTACTAGTAGCTTCCTTGTTACCAGTTACCAGTAGTAAGGTGCCTTGTTAGTAGTAGTCCCCCAAAGTCATAGGATTTGGGACACACTGTCCTCTCGCCATCGATCGACTGGCTGAGCTTTTTTGAGGGACTGTCCACCGATCGCCTGGGGTGTTCACCCTTTGGGTGTGTAGGCTTTCCTTGGAGAAGGACTCATCAAGTGACGACTCATCAGAACGACACTGCCCAAATCCATCATCACCGCACAGTTTGGCCACTCAAGTGGCAATTAGTTCTTACGTTCGCCACCGGAGCCACCAGCGAAGTAAACTCCAGAATTCGAAGGACCAAAGTAGCTATGCTCCCTGAACACGGAAGGGGTTTCACTGGTGTTGTATCGTCATGCATTAAGAGGTGCCACGGCCGCTGAGGCGATCATCATTGCGATCTACTTCCAAGAACACCCGTGCCTCGCTGGCGGGCTGCGAAACGCCGGAAAAGCCTGGGTTGCTAGAGGAAGACATGGCAAAATAGGCAAGAGTCCACTCGCGCCCATTTCCTGGTCGTAGAGGAAACCTCGACAAGTGAATGGTCTCCTTGACGCCATTCCTTTTGACCTCTTACCGCAGAGGCGCTGTTGCTTAGGCTTACAGACATTCATCGTGTCTATGTCTCTCTAGTTCCCAGGTGAATATAATTTGCCAAAGGTTAGTCATTATCTACTTTTGCCAAAGGATGAGTCAAGAAGATACACCCAACAAAAGGTTCTTGCCCGGATGGAGCCCCAAGCACTTGGGAGAGAGTCTCTGTCAGACGAAGGTGCTGTAGCGATGTTCATAGTACAAAGACCTCCTTTAAGCTGGTACTGTGTGCACCGTACTCGTTCACTTCAGGATCGAGAAGGAGTGACTATTGGACCTCATGGCTGTTCTGTTCTTGTGGTAATATCTGTTTGAAGTGCCAAGCATTGTTTTTGTTTGTTTCTTTTTGTCCGTCCAACCATTAAGTTCACACACCCAAATCAGATCGCTGAGGAAGATACAAGCCTATTTCGGCTTTGTCCTGATCTTGTTGGGTGTGCTTTTGGCGCAGAAGTCTTCCAGTTCCAAAGGGAAAGGAGAGTGACTTCGACTGAGCAGGAGGGATGGGTGGGACTTGTTGGCATTTCGACTGGAGTTGGACCTGCAAGGACGCCAGTAATGCCCTTGTGGCGTCCCGAAAAGAGTTTTGTGGAGGCAAATGTCTCAAGACATGAACCCAGGACCAACACAGACCTTGAAGAGGGTGAAAGAAACTCTGCAATGGCTGAAGCCAGGGCCTATTGGCAGGACTCGATGAGCCATGTGCACCACAATGTGCCATGCGTTTCGTGGATGAGCTTCAAACATTTGCTGAACACGTTCCGGACCTAAGAACTTTGGAGCTCCGGACTCTCATATTCTGCATCCGTGACTCTCATATTCATCCGGGGTCACCACGTCCGATCCTCCGGTGTGGGTCCGATCCTCGCATCTGAGGAACGAGTCAGATTCAGAGGAGCATCCTCCTCAATTTGAGCTAGAGCTTTGGGAACCCAAGAAACTGGGGAAGACGGAGGAAGAGGCGGAGGATTTGGAGCCTTGCTGGATTTAGGGAATTGAGATTGGTCTGTGCGGCGGGAAGGTTTTGAACGGGTTTAGACATTGATGATGCTGATACATTGACACTGTTTAATGACCGGATCCTTCTTGGTACTTAGTTTAGCTGTTAGTTGCGAAAGCGGGTGAACGTCAAAGTATGTCGCACTTTTCTGGGGCGCATCGGAGACTGCAGCTGCCCTTTCCCTGACATTAGGAACCACCTGACGGCCAAAGAACACCTGGCGTTGGGTCGGTGTGTGGGGTCGCAGCCCATCGTTGCCGGTCGCCGCAGTTCTCGCGGCGGTCGCCGCTCCTCAGGAGTCCTCCGAAGCGTCCAGCTCCACCGACGCCCGACACGAGCGCTGCGGCGCGTCCCGCTTCTCCGCCCCGTCGTGCTTCGGGCGCTGCGGCGCGGTGGCGCTGGCGATGTGCGCGGGCAGTTGTTGGGGCTTTGGGCCCTTGGGCGCCTCAGCGGTTGAAGGATGTGGGGAGGGCAGCTTTTTTATTGGTTGAGCCTTCCTTGGACTGGAGAGCTCAAGGTTGAGACGAGTTTGCGTGGGTCTGTGGGGATAGTGGCGGGTTCTGATTCGCGGCTACAGGAAGGCTGGTGGGGCGGCTGCGGTTTGTGCGTGTTACTCACCTTCAAGCCTTGGGGGTTCACGATTTTGTGAGGCAAGAAGATTGGTGTGCATGGAAGCGAGGATCACCAGAGGCAAGCCTGGGCTGCTTGTGCCTGGGCTGGCGAGTGGGGGATGGAGTGTCCGCTTGAACAAAGAATGAGAGTGTGTTCTATAGAGTAGAGCATTCTTTTTGACAGCTCCAAGAGAAGATTGAGGATGATTCGGGACATCATATCAGGTGCGTTGCTTGACCAGGAGAGAGTACTAGCGTGTGATCAGTACTTGCTCATTGACTCATGAATGGGATGAATCGCTCGTCCTTTACCCGCGGACATCTAACAAGTTCCAAAATCGGGCAATGCTTTAAGAAAGACATATAAGAAAGACATGTATATATATATAATCATATAGTATATGCGTATATGCTTGGATGAGGTGGCTGGTGACTGAATCAGGCCCTGGCCCCATTGAGATGGGTTGGATCTGGGGGGGACAGCATGCAGCTAGGTGTTTCAGGAGTCTTTATTGTTAATTGCAGGTTTGCTATGGATTCAGACTCTACTACTGTTGAATGAAGACATTCTGCACCCCCGATAATGAACTCCAAAGCACCATCAAAGACCGTGGTTTTCCGTGCCAGCGCCGTTCTTTCTCCATTACTAGTAGCGATGCCAGGAGCGCCCCCTAGTAGCTTCTTGCTCCGTTCGTAGTGATGCCCGTTACTAGTAGATTCTTGTTGCTAGTAATGTCAAGAGCGTTTTCGCCCCTGAGGTACTTACTTCGTTTACATGCTGTCCACCATCTTCGTTCCTCTCCTCCGTGTGCTCACGGCCCATGGCCGACGGGAGGCTCTCGAAGACTCATCCTTCAGGCAGCGTGGACGTCCTCGACTCGTCCAGGGTCGGTGCCGGGCTTTTTCGGTTTGACCGGGCTGGCGGTTTGTTTGGTTTGTTTGGTCGGCTTGGTCAGACAGTTTGCTGATTTGTTGCCAGCTCCTCATGGTCAGACTGCCTCTGCATGTGTCTTCGGTGGGAATCCTGATCTTGCCCCTGCGAAGACCAAAACAGGCATTGGTGCTTTGTCAAGTGGATCCAGGACTAAGACGGTTTGGAACATTCTCACTATGCGGTCTGATATGGTCACAACGCTACTAGGGGCTCCTGGCCTTACTACTAGGAGCAAGGACGCTACTAGGGGCTCCTGGCATCGCTACTAGGAGCATTCTTATCAATTACAACAACTGCAACTTGTACAAGCTGATCTTCGTTGTTTTTGCCTGAAAGACCTGAGCGTCCTCTACAGGGGATTTGGTCCAGGTGCTAATGCAGGCACGATCGATCTGCAAAGGGATCCGATGGAGATGCCCGAACGATGACAATTACATGCTTCTTCTTGCTATAACTCCAACTTAAGTTTTGCCATTTGTTTGTGGAGATATCGTTTTGGCATTCTTTGGTTTCCTCTAGGCCCTAGGCTTTTGGATCCGAAGGCAGCAGAGCAGCTTGACAACAAGGTGTTGGACTGACATCCTGGCCGAACCTCCCAGATCATCCCAGATCATGTTCTTTGTCGATAAAACAGTGGCAGCTATTGAAAGCTTACCCAAGCAACAGGCACAGCAATAATATCAACTGCTTTCTTTGCCATCTTCAGCAGTGCAAGGCAAACTTAGGGCCAAGAACTCAGACTAGCAAAGCTGGCCTTGATTTGCATGGTGAGGGGCAAACCTATTCCAAAAGGTGACCCGAACCAGCACCAAGACCTGTTGGGTGCTTCCAAGGACACTCTGAATTAGAACCCACAGCTCGTGTTCGTTTCTATGCCCTGCCTATATAGACATAGTGTGCCTCGCGCGAACACAAACTCGAACTGGAACAGTCAGAACTCAACCTTGGAGGCATTCGAAGGCCTCGAACTGGAATTCGATCTCAAACTCGAACCCGAATAAAGTAATTACAAGGCCCCAAAAAACTGGAAACATAATTACAAGGCCCCAAACTCGAACTCGAACTCGAGCTGGAACGTAGAACCCAAGTACTCTGGAAGCATAGAAGGCCTCGAACTCGAACTAGTAGGCAAGTAATGTTCGGGGGGTTCGGGTATCGTTTTTTAAGGGTTTCTCTAGTCTTGGCTCAGGGCTTCACTTCTTTAGGGTTTCTTTGGCCTTGGCCCTTGGCGTAGGGTTTCCCTGGAAGTGAGTCATGTTGGGGGTTCCAACATCTTGAGGAAACCAAAACGATGCCAACGCACCGAATCTCTCCCCCAGGGACCGACGAAATCCCTTGTAAATGGCGCGCAGTTTTCCAGGCAAAAGCAATGGAGATCATTTTGTGCAGGTTGCAACACACACACACACACAACGGAAGTCTAAGTGGTCACTTCAACCAACTTTTTTCCCGCATCTTTTGATAGACTGCATCGAATTCCCCGCAGGTGTCGTCTCTTGGGGACAGTGCTTTGCGGCTTGGTCTCTGGCTTTGGGGGGATGCTCAGCACCTTCGCCTTCGCACAGGAGTCGTTGTAGACGTCGTCGCCTGTGAGGTACGTGTCGTGCCGAAAAAATCGTGCGCGTTTGGGCACATATGGTTGATGTGGGCATGTGTCGAAACCCTGGTTGAAGAACCGGGTAAGTGCTAGAATTGCTGCAGCCTGCAGGGGTGACAGATCCATTCAGATCGTAGCATGTGGTGGCATGTGGGCCATGTGGGGTGCAAATTTATCCAATACACTCGGAAATCTCGAGTTGTTCTGGGACCTGTTACACTGATTCTCCTTCGAACCTACAGGAGGGTTACTACAGCGGAGCTTTGATTTCCACCGTGGAGAACGGCATTTACACTGTCTTTGGTGCAGTGCTCATCACCGTGGTCTTCCGGGAGAAGTTGTCGCAGCGGCAGTTGAACCTTGGCGTCGGAGCCGGTGGTTCAGAAGAGTTGAAACCAGAGCAGTTGTGTTTGGGGTCTACATGCATGGTTGAAAAGCCACAAGGCCCGCAGGTTTGCATGTCGGATTCTCGTTTTGATGGTACCCTTGTAATTTCTGTAGCCATATTCAATAACCCCTGGGCCTTGGGCGACGGACAAGGACGGTAAATCATGTCGTCTCCTTAATTCAAGAAACCTTTGAGCAGAGACCCATCAACAAGACTCTGCCACCCTTAAAACCAGTTCAATCCCCCACCCGTTGTTCCCAGTCTCACCTACACCGGACCCCAAGAGCGCTTCGTCGACAGGATCAGTGCGCTGTCTGTTACCTTGGCCATCGCCGCTTGGCCGCGAAACGGTGCCGGCATGAACCGGCGTGGAGCGAACGGCACCTAACAAGAAGCTACTAGGAACAAGTGCATCGCTTCTAGTAACAAGTGCCTTACTAGTAGTAACAAGAAGCTACTAGGAACAAGAAGCTACTAGGAACAAGAAGCTACTAGGAACAGTCGCGTCCGATCACTCCGTTCGTAGCGATGCCCCTGTGTTACTTTCCTGTGCAGGTTGTGAAGATGTGCAGGCTCATGTCCAAGAAAAAGAATGAATGAACCATAGAATCCGAGTGCTCTTGTTCTCAGGTTATATTTGGCCTGGACTTCAAGAAGATCTTCGGAGGATCTTCCGACTGAAGTAAGGACTGTGAATGCGTGGCGCAGGCGCATGGTGCGGACGCAAGACACTGGAGAAAGACCTGGGCAACGAGGAGTCTTTCGAACTTTTGCGTCTCACGTGTAGGTGTCAGGAGGGTGGATGTGTGGCCAGTGGAACCCGGCAGAACCGGTTTAAATTTGGTTGATATTGATGTCCCATTCCAGCCAGTTCTTATGCCCAAAGACTAAAGACATTGAAATCCCATAGGGAGACCCTTGGAACATGGTTCTTTGGGGTTCGAGGCACCGAACCCGGAAAGGTGCGGCCATCTCGCACGACGGGTGCTACCGCCCGGGAGGTCCATCCGTGCCAGTAGTGCACGTCCGTTTGTCACGAGTCCATGATGCCTGAGGTGAACTACAGGGATCATGGAGTGCCAGTGTATCCCCAAGAAGGGACGAATCCGCATGACTTCTTGAAGCACTGTAGTGCATGGACTCTCCAAACTGCAAGTCGCACATGGACTCTCCAAACCGCGGCACCATGGTGCCGCTCTCCCGGCCGTTTCGGCCCTCAGTGCGACCGGCTCCGGACTCTCATCGGAACCGATGAAGTGACCGGACGCTGGGAAGGGGGTCGACCACAGACTTTGGGGTCGGCTACGCCGCTACGCCTGGGAAGTGTCAGTGTTTTCAACATAGATACAGTGAGCGACTATAAAGAACGAGGTTTTGACATGTCACACGAGCAATCATTACCGTAAATTTCATCAAGATCTTGTCGTGCATGGCATGTCTCCACTTGCTCCTCCTACCGCCACTGCTACTGTCTTACTGCTACTACTCGTTTCTACTGCTACGGCATCAGGGGTGCTATTTGGGTGTGAGATTGGGGCAAAAGCCGGCATCCCCTCATTGTGCCCGACGGGGGCACCCCCCATCAGGAACACCCCCCACAAACACTGAGGGATAGATCGCCAGCAGGACGGCGACGACTGCGACTACTGCTATTCAATGGTTGTCTTCAGTGGCATTATTCATTAGATGTAGCATGATGTAGCCAACGATCAAACGCCGTGCCCAGATCGGCCACGACCCCCCAATTTTTTTAAGCTTAGGCCGATGCGCAGTTCGGCTCGTCCGAGGCGAACGTGAAGGAGACACAACTATTTTTCTGTGGAGAGACCACGAAGCCGGTCGGACAGGGACAGGGACAAGAATGGAAAAGAACCTGGCCTGAAAGATGTTGGTTTTGGGTGGTGAGTTTGGACCCACACCGATCGCGCCAGAAACATGATACCCGCCGGACCCCAGGGAATGCCGCTTAAACTTGAAATCACGCATGTGCCGGATGAACCCCACCAGCACCTGGCCACTTGTGCCCCCGACAGATCCATTGACATTGATGTCTATTTTGGAGCCACGACACTTGCATCGTGGAGAAGGACCAACAGAATGCCTCCACTCGGACCGGTCCGAGCAACGGGTCTCGCGAAGACAGAAGTGAGGGCATCGCGTGAATCAAAGAAAATGGGGCTGCTTGAGCCGAAGAAAAAGGGCTTAGGTGCAAGGGGCTGGAGCCATGCCTTAAAAAAAACGGATTGCCCAAGAAGGAGTCCCGAGTGGAATGCATAGTGACAAAGCCCCAGATAGAATATGCGAAAATAATTAGTATGCAGATAGAATATTTTCAGCCTCTAAAACAGTAATTCCTGGATCACTAAAACCGTGCAGATAGATATAATTGATGTTGTTCATAATGTGTACATATGTTTCGTGCATGAGTTTTGAGTTGTAGATTTCACCACACATAATTCACATAATAACACTTGTGTCATATCATAAATCATATAATATCATATATATCATATTCTATCTGCTACTTCCCTATTCATTTTCTAACCCATATTCTATCTGCTGTAGGAACAGGCAAAGTGGCTGACAGCACATAGAATACGTGACTAATTAGCTTTTGGGAATTAGTTCATATTCTATCTGTGGCTTTGTCACTATACTGAACTTTATCGCAACTTGGGCATCACTATATAATGGTTCTCAAAAGACTCCACGGGCCACCAGTCACAAAATATTGGGTTGGATTGCTGAAAGATTCTGGGGTGAAGGGATTGCATAAGGTGATGTTCAAGAAAAAGCAACTGGGGTGAATGCGCTCAAGCATTCGGCTCCGAGCACAATGTCAGTATCCTCCAAAGGAACCATAAAAAGTACTTCATCCGCACTTTGTTGGCCGTAGCTGCTGAGACAGCACAGCGAAGACTTAAAGATGCTCCACAGCACAGCAATGTCCACGCAAAATGGACTTGTGGAATCACACTCGTGGCAGGTACCCGCAACAAACGTTATATTGAAATCTGAAAAGCGGTCATTCGGAGTGCAACAGGTAAAGAAGCTCACCCTTGACAGGTTGCCAAGAGCCACGACAGCTCAAAGGCTCATTCATAGATGGCCATATTTGGCTTTTGCCTGATGGCTGAATTGGAATGGCTACAAAGTTGAAGGTGGTGAATGGTGTGTTCCTCGTCGACAAGAAGGGGCTCTCCTTCCCGCTGAAAGAGGCTAGTGGGGTCACTTTGGGACGTCCAACAGATTCTTTGGAGTCAAACGTCTAGAGCATCTTCGTTCCGTGCCAGAAGGCTTTCACACTCATTCTCTTTGTGACTCTACCTCAGCACTGCAGCTACCTGTACCATCTCAAAAAGCTCAATACTTTCAGGTGCTGTTGTGAATAAGTGTTTAGTTGCCCTCTCATTCTCCAGGCGCCTTGCTCGCGGGACCATGACGCCTACTACTGGATGCAGCAGATTCATCGGCCTTCCAAAAGCTACCCCTACATGTCAGTCTTTGAGGAGCTCAGTTTTCATCTGTTTTCATCCGTTTTCATACACACCCGGTGCATCTTGTGTGAGTCCAGCAGATAGGGCCATGCCGCTTTCGGATGTTTTGGGTTTCTTTTTTGTTTGGATTGGTGCTCAGTTCTGAGCGGTGAAGAACTGCCAAGACGCTGGTGGTTTGCCTCCGACATGGTCAGATTCTTTTTTTTGGAGGTTTCAATCCCATGGGGAACGCGTTGCCCAAGGGTGTTTTGACATGGTTTGTTTCTTTCCAAGGGTCTGTGAATCTGGAAAGATGGCTGGGAAAGCTGTTGCTGACCGTTCACCGCTCACCGTTGACTGCTGGAACCGAGGGAACAGGCTTCAATTGTAAATGAGCCACTGAAACTTGGTTGTATTGTATTGACTTGTCTTGTAGTGTATGCTATTGTATGGTATTGTACTGTATGGTATGGTATGGTATCGTATCGTATGGTAATGTGATGTGTGTTATGTTATGTTATGTTATGGTATGGTATGGTATGGCAATGGCAATGGCAATGGGTAGGGTAGGGTAGGGTATGTATGTATGTACGTATGTGTGGGTGGGTGTGTCTTCTCCACCACCCGCTCTGACACTGCGGCATTCAGCATCGACTGCAGATGCTGCATGTCTGAGGCCACACATGACGCACATGTGTTTTTTCTCAGCCACGCCAGCCATGCGGGGGGTGGGTAGGAAGCTAAGAAGCTATTAGAAACAAGTGGCCAGGAGGAGCTCTTGCGGTTGCATGATGAGCTGCGGAACCATCCGGGCCGCTATGCAAGGCGGACGGTGAGGGCTAGGAGTCGAGCACGAAATGAGTGCAGCGCCCGTGGTGTAACCAAATATTGTTTCACCATGTTAGACCTAACTGCAGGTGACATCGTGGAATCATGTCAAATTGCTAGTTGGGGTTGCGCGCCCTAGGTGCCAAATTTTTTAATAGTCGACCTTTTTTTTCCCACATCTTAGTGTGGGGTTCTTCTTTTCTATGTCTCATCCCGCTTCTCCCGCCTCTCCCGCTCCTCCCGCTCCTCCCTTTCCGAGACGACACACACACAGAGACAACACACACCGAGACAACACACACCGAGACCACACACACAGAGATCATACACACCGAGACCACACACACAGAGATCACACACACCGAGACAACACACACCGAGACAACACACACACACAGAGATCACACACACCGAGACCACACACACAGAGAGATCACACACACCGAGACCACACACACAGAGTCAACACACACCGAGACAACACACACAGAGACCACACACACAGAGAGCACACACACCGAGACTACAATCGATCTCGCTCCGTTAGAGGGTCTGGTGGTTGCGTTGTCGGCTGTGGTCGGCTGTTGTCGGCTGTGGTCGGCTGCGGCGCTGTCTTATTG